CGTTAGCATGGCTAATAATAGCAGAAGCTCCGTTGTACAACCATATGAGACCCTGCTGAGTCAGACCTAGAGGCAGAGTCATGGTCAGAGCTTCTTTTTTTCCTCCCCCTCCTCTGCTCTGCGCTCACTCTGCATGCTGTTACCAGAGCAGGGAGCAGCAGCGGTCAAAATACCTCAGAAACTTGAACAAATAGGCTTTAGCAAGGCTTTAATAAGCTAAACAATAGAGGTACATGAGAAAATGTGTTCATAAGAAATGAAAATAAAAGAATAATTAAAATGTATCGTGCCGGTCTCAAACCCTGGTCTCCCAGTCTCTGGTCCAACACTCTACCCATTGCCCTATTGGAGRCTTGTTGTGAAATGAGCTGTGCGCTGCACAACAACAACCGTGACGGCTTTTTATACTAAGGAGGTGGAGCCTCACCCGGGGGTTGCTAGGTAAGAGGCTGAACGCAGGTTCCAGTGGGTTGTCGTACGGCTTGTGATGTCACAAAATGACGGAAGTATAAAACTTGTCGTTAATATACATTAAAAATAAATTTACTTACAGTAAATATGCCCCTGGGTGCATTTTTTTTTTGGTCCTAGGACTGTTTTTTAAGAAGTACATACCCAAAGTTGAGTAAAATAAAGCCTTTAAAAAGTGAATTTTGCATAATAGGTCCCCTTTAAAAGTATTTCTAAGTGCATTTCCCAAACTGAACAAGTGAGTCTCCACTGAAATGACGCGACTTGTTGTGCAGCCTTACTTCTCGTAAAGGACGATGTCTGGGAGCCAAATGTTTTCTGAAGGAACTCTGATGGAGGTGATCCCACCGTATTTATCTGGGTTCCATCTCAGCTTGAAATCAATCCACTCCTGGCCGACACCACATGCAAAAACACATCATATCATTACAGATTTCTTTGTTTTAAWAAAGGCAACGTATCAACAGAACTGTGGGTTTGCATCTGAATTACTGATTGTTTTATGTTTTACCTGCGTTAGCCACACATTCGTTGTCATCAGCTGGTTTTTCTCATCCTGAAATAAACAACAGAAACCAGAGATTTAAAAAAAATCCACACATTAAAAAAATTAATTTGTCTAAAAACATATGGATCACTGTAGCCAACAAGAGTTTTAAAATAATGTGTTTTATGAGATAATTTGCAAAAACTGTAATTGAATTAATTAATTGAATTAATATTTCGCAGCTGTTCACACGTACAAAAAGTGGATGTGCAGATGGAAAATTGATCTARATCACAAAATAATTGATTGATTGTTCACAGCACCAAACTGTTTCCAACAATCTGGAAAGCTGTGAGCAAACTGCTAGAAGAATGAAAACGTTTCCTTTTCCTTTTAATAAAACAGGATCACATGCACTCATCTGAGCCAAAAAAGATGAAAAAGAACAAAAAAAACCTGGATTAAATCTGTGAGTCGTGTGCCAGACTGAAGAAGTGTAAATATATCAGATATAGTAAACAAAAGCAAACAGGAACAGACAGATGTGGAGCAGCTAACTTTGGCTTATTTCCACGTCGCTGAAGGCAGGTTTGAGATGTAGTGGGAACGTTAGGATGAGGAGATAAACGTGGCAGGTGAAAGAACTGCATCATCCAGCCCCAGCCTCARCTGTCAGGGAGAGTTGGATGGTTTGGTTGATCACATAGACCAGATGTGAACCATAATCTAATCCTGAGCCGTGCAGCAGCCCGGAGAGACTCGAGGGACCAACGGAGAGCCAAGCTGCTGTGTTTACGGTTAGTTCTCRTACTACATCTCCTCTCCAGACATGTTTTGGTCCAAATAAATWWAWAAAAWAAATWWAAAAACAAACAGAGGGGCTCTGATTTACTTAATCGTCATTTTCTCCAGCAGAGGGAAGAGAAGCGACAAATTCAAGCTCCACTGGAACAGATGAATATTTCAAACCGCGAAGAGTGCCTCCTCCATTAGCGTTCTCAGTTTCCTCTTTTTGAACACCTAAACCATCTCAACCTATCACACAGAGCTTCTGAAATATTAAAGGAGCACTCCAAAAAGTAGAGGTGATGTAGCTGCAGATAAAAGGGTTTTAAAATCACGGAAAGCTCAACCCTGTGGATCAGGAACAGTAGCTCTCAGTATGAAAAACCTAAAAAAAAAAAAAACTCAGTTTTCGTGTAGTTAAGACCTCAGAGTAAACCTGTTTAAAGCCATATTTTTCCGGTGTACAAGTAAGATTTACAATTAAGGCATACTGATTAACAGCAAGGCAGGAAAAATTCTATAATGGTCCATATTTTTGTATAACGCCAAATCCTTTGTAATGACTAGATCATTATTCCCCAAATGCACAAAATGATTTTAGCATCAACTTGGTTGCAGTTTATCACTTACTCCACAAGATGTCACTGCAACCCACAAACTGAACCTTTAAAAGACGATTTCCAGCATACCAAATATACAATATATTTATTAAATTTTGAATAAAACAACTCAGTCTGATTGTTCTTAGTTATTTAAAGTAGATATTTCATGCTTTTAAAAACGTTTTTACATTTAAACCACTAAGTTGGGGTCTATGTAAAGTGGAACTGAAATACTTTGGTCTTTTAATTTTACCAGCCACCACTTCACCCCTTTCGTAATAAGTGTCTCAAAGCAACTCGTTTTGATGCTGTTCCTTTAAATCCAAGCAAGGCACTTCACAATCCTGCCCCCCTCCTCCTGCTTCCACACTGGTACATTGTAGCTTGATAGAGGAGGTAAAGCTGCGCAGAAGCGATATATTTACAAGTTAATTAAGTAACGGAGGATTTGTCCACCCAGCCTTTGAAATACKTTATAKGGAAAAGAGTAAACTGAACGRGTTGAAAAAAAAWGACCCAAAAAGAATCTTTGCAGCACCGGGAGAGACTAAATTAAACTTTTCTGCACTCMAAGAGACTCAAAGTACACAACAAAATGTAATTAACATCTGAAAAGTGGATTTTGCACGATATGGCCTCTTTAAACAACAGAGGAAAACAACAGTTTGTTGGGGACTATTAACAGTAATGGCTTCATTATAAACGGGTGAAGTGTTCTGCTACACCATTATTCAKTGCATTAGGGATGTTTATGAAGTTTTTATTGTGGACAACTGCATATTTTTTATTGTCCTCCACAGGGATCCTTAATTGGGATCATTTGCATTTTACAGTTGGAGGAAATACATATTTCGTGTAAATTCTTTGGCGTAACAGTCTTCAGGTTTGGTTAGGATGCATGTAAATATGTTATTTATTTATTCTAAAAAAAGGTGGCAAACAGCAAATGTATTTGGATCCGTGGTCATCTCCTCACCACATCCACCAGCTGAGAGATCTTGAGCCCGAAGCGAACTCTGACGGTGTCGTTGGCGCGCTGGATGGGTCTGACCCAGCGCTGGTAGCCTTGGAAAAGGTTCTTCAGCAGAGCGTCTTCCATCTCCGCCAAGGATACGAACTTATCTGGAGCTGGAGAAGGAAGGAGAGTGTGCTGCTGTAACATCCATCCTTTATAACTGAACTACACGTCACATTTATCGCCTCACTTCGTTAAAATGTTCAAAAAGTGGGAAAAACAAAATCCAGGGATTCTGTTTTATAAACCCTAAAATCACATAAAACTTTTTTACACAGATTACAAATATTTGCAAGCTCAAATAGCAGCAGCGGCAGCTAGCTGTAGCATCTCGGCTTGGGGCACTTCCAGCAGGTATCATAAAACTTCTGTCAGAATGATATTGCAATGTGAAATTTAAAATAAAGTAAAAGTTTAAAAAATAGTACTCGCAGGAACCGTTGTGAAATTTTTTGAGACAGTATTTAACTTAAAGCTGTTAACTCTTTAATCTGGACARAATTATATCAGAATCATTGCTCCAAGGGCTTTACAAATTTAGATTAAATCTCTGACTTTTACTTTTATTTATTACTGTGCATAAGGTAATGCAATAAAGAATTATTAGCATCTGAATGTTTACTGAGTCACACAATATTATAAAAAAAATAGGCGTAGTTATGATCTAGTTCAGAAACTGCAGCACATCAGGAACATCTGTAACATGTGACATGCAGGATCCAGTGGAAGACATTTACTGAGGAAAAATGAGGATATAATCTCTGGCTGATGAATATAAAGCATGCAAAAAGTTTAACCTGCTCATCTGCATTAGAGGACAGAAAACTGCACTCTGAAACCTGACTTCTTGTTTGTCTGAGATCATCTCAGTTTTCTGATAAGCTTTTCAAAATAAAACAAGACAAAAACATCCTGAATGTATTTTACGGCCGAATTTTACGGTTTCAGCACTGATTTTATCTGCTTGTTATCACGATTACAGAGAAAATTAATCAGGCTAAGTTCATGGCATTATTTAAAAAAAAAGTTTCCAACAAAATTTTCGAAAAACCGTTCAGGAGTCAAAGATTTTACATTTTCTGCAATTAAAACACATTGAGCTTCAGGAGTTTATCAACCTGATTTTTTTGCGGAGTGAAATAAAACTTCACCACCGGTTTGAGTTTTTTTTTCCTCAGCATTTTTTTTTTTTCAAACCAAAGTAATAAAGCTGGTAAACTGAGCTGCAGTTTTATTTTTTAACCACTCAGAAACCAACACATGTGGAGTTTTCTCACCGGGGACAGCAGCCTGGGACAGCCGACACACCGACAGGAGGAGGAGAAGCGCTAACTTCATCATGTTGTTCCGATCCACACAGACTCCTGCTCGCTCGGACCGAACCCCGCTGCTTCCATCAGTCAGAGTCTGCAGAGAACCATCGCTCCACCTGCTGTTCGCCGGAGGATGGAGGCCCCATGTGTCGGTGCGAGGTCCCCGCGTCCGTGTGGTGGTGCGACTCCTGTCGAGGCGTTCCAGGAAGCAGGGGAGGAGGAGGGAGGGTGGGGGTCCCTCTGGAGGAGGAGGAGGAGGAG